ATCAGGCCCCACGAGGACAGGTTTGGTTCACTGCTGCCCTAGAATGTACTGGGGAGCTGCCATAGGGTTGTGTCCAGGAAATATTTGTGGACGCTTGAAGCTGAGCTGTTTTCAGCAGTGAGAGGGTGTATTGGATGGGGACCCTCTGTATACATGCAGGGGAGAGCAGCTTTTGATGCTTACGAAGTCTGAGTGGGTGCTCTGGGCTCTACTCTGAGCTGTTCTGCTTTACTGTCACACAGCTCATTCAGGGGGAGCCTGACTCCGGAATGGTGGGTGTGCATTTTGATCTTTGAGGTTCCTCTACCACAGGCCCAATTCAGGTTCATAGTGCTAAATTTCAGAAAGATTGTCGTTCTTGAACTTTCTGTTTCTGATAAAAAAAAAAAAATCACCACTAAAAAAAACAAACAAGACAAAAAAATAAACCCAAAACAAAGCATCCTATGCAGCACCTTCTTCCCGGGGGTTGTTATGGTCTTGTGTTTTAAACCCACTTCCAGTAGTAGTCTCTTGCCCTGGCAGCCCAGCTCCTCCTCGCGTGGTCCGCAGTGTCTCCCAGAGGTGCAGGTGGCCGAGCCCTTGGGGTCAGCGCTGGCGGCCATGAGGATATCCTGGATTCTACCTGCAGTGCCACTGGAGGAGCCAGAGGACCTTCAGCCCACAGTCCGGTGTGATTTCTTTAGAGATTACCTCCTGCTCAGGGGAACTATAAATCCTGCTTCAAGATGGTTCGGTTTTATGGAAACAAGGCTTTAACAGCGCCCCGGAGCTGAGCTCGGAATAATATTCTTGCTGGTGATCTCTAGCGGAGACCTCTCCCTTGGTGACAAGGCCTCAGCTTCACAAACGCCAGCCTCTAGCCAGGCTCCAGCGCCCTTCTTCACAGGGCGTCAGGATGCAGGCTGGCACCATCCCCAGAATCTTCCCTTGGCTCTGACTCCCAGTTGGTTAATAGAACTGTCACCTTCTTGGGACAGAATGTTTCAGTGGCAGCAGTTTGTGATGGAGTTGAATGCTCCGTGGTGGAGAGATTCCTTTGTTTCTGCCCAGTCACCTCCTTAGTTCTGCCCCTCCGACCCTCCTCAATGTGGTTTTCTCTTCAGGGTTGTTTTTGTTTGCTGGGGCTGCTTGACAGCTTCATGGCCAGTTAAGACGGCCCCATGAAGGTCCCATAGCCACTTAGCTTTTCTCTCCCTGTGGAGTGGCCCAGGGCTGTGTGCTCCCCTTTCTGCAGCCTTGCGGTGTACATTCTTCCCATGGCCTAGAGTGACACTCTAGGTAGACACAGTGCCATCCACTCACTCATCGAGTATAGTGCACCCACCCCATTCCTAGCCCATTTTCATTTTTGGAGATAAAGTCTTGGTGAATTGCCCAGGCTAGGCTTGGACTGTTGCTTCTCCTGCCTCAGCCTCCCGAATGCCTGGATTGTAGCTGCCTGTCTCAAGCTGTGTCATTAGCGTCCCTGGGGAGGCTGGGGAGATGAGGGGAGACTCTGTGACCAGATCTGCTGATGACAAGGTTGTGAAGATGTACCCGGGCAGGATGCGTCCTCAGGGCTGGGCTTACTGGATGCGCTTCCAGCTCTTAGGAGCTGCCAACCTGGTGCAGGGAGGAAGTGCCCTTTAGTGATGGCAGCTGTTGATTGCAGGGGCGGCCAGGGAGCCTCTGGGGGCAAAGTGCAGACAGTCACAGCTTCTGAGGCCTTTTGATTTGCAGCAGCCTCACTCAGATGGACACAGCCTTCTGCTGTGGGAACAAAACGTGTTGAGGCAGCCCGTGCCCCAGGCACTGGTGAGGATGGGCTCATGGCACTGAGGAGGGAGCTGGGAGAGATGCACTGTTAGCTGTTATCGGTCCTTGACAGCTGACAGGTGGGGAGGGCATCAGGCCTGCCTTCCGAGGGAGTCCGGGGCCCAGCCTTCTGTCTGACCTCACATCCACCTGGAAGAGACATTGGGGACTTACTGCAGGATGAAGGAGCCCCTAGCAGGCATCGTGGGTGGTCCAGCCCAAATGCTGTGGAAGCCACAAGGACTCTCTGCCCTGGAATGTCATCTGGTTGAGAGGGTGTGTGATGTGATTCTTGGTAGCATCCCTTATAGTGGCTCAGATTGTCTCTCAAAGCCTCAGGCTTGCCCTGGTGGGGTCTGGTGGGATCTGACAATGTGCTGCTTGCCGTGGGCAGCAGGTGGTACTGGTTCTTGTGTATGCAGGTTCCGTGATGTTTCCTTTATAAGTCAGTCTTAGAGAGACAGAAGAGAAGCCAGTTTAAGAGAGCCGGTGATGTGATAGGTGGGTGCAGAGATGGCAAAGCGTCTGGAAGGTGCGCTTGGGGAAAGCCTGGGAAATGCCACTCTGGAATTGGCCTGTGGTGCTTGCAAGTGTGTGGCCCCTAGTGCCCAGACCTCACCTCGCTGGTTTGGGGTTTGTCACTGTGACCTTTGTCTTCCTCCCTGTCCCTCTCTCCCTCTCTTGAGTTGCTCATTCTGCAAATAATCTGCCCACTGTGTGTCAGGCGCTGTGCTGGTTCCTGATGTGGTGAGGTGGTCTCCAGCTCACTAGTGAGAGCCAGGTCTTCTCACTTGTGTGGAGACCAGAGTTGATCTCAAAGGAGTAGGAAGTAGAATTGTGCTTACCAGAGCCTGGGAAGAGCATGGGAGAGGGAGGTGTCTGAGAGCAGGGTTCACAGGCACAGGGTGCAGGTGGACGGGAGGAGAACATTCTGATATCCTGTGATGCAGTGAAGCAACTTACTGTGCTTGACAGCAATCACTTGGCTGTTTTGAAGTAGCTAATAGGGTTGGGGGGGCCAGGTGACTGACTGGACCGAGGGCCTGCTGTATGCTAGGCAAGTGCTCCACCACCCAGCTACCTTCCCAACCCTTTCTGTTGTGAGACAGGTTTTACATAGACCCAGGCTTCCCTTGAGCTTGAGATCTTCCTGCCTCAGCCTCCGGCACACCCAGAGTCACAGGGTGGCCTCTATGCCTAGTCCACTCCTGGGTCTCCCACCAGCTTCCTGGTGATGTTGATGTCATTGGCCTGCAGACCATATGCAGAGCAGTGAGGCCGTGGAGCTCATGTGACAATAACGGTTGAATAGTGTGATCACCTTCTGTTTGTGGACTTCCTTGGACTTGATCGTCGAGAGGAGAAGTATAAGGTGATTCGTCAGGAAGCAAGGTGACCCATCTTAGAGATGCTCTGGCCGAGTGCCCTCCACATAGGACGCTTCAGGAGGGCCAGGACGCTTTGGAGTTTGTCTCCACTTGAGCTGCTTATTATTTCCACGCCCTAGATGGTGTTTCTCTTCCTCAGCTTGGTTGAGTCTTAAGTGACCGATTCAGGTCAGTGCTTGAACTTCCTTCCCATCCTCACCTTGGTGACCTGCAGAAGGTCAAGAGCCACGCTCCTCCCTCTTGCACCCACATTGCCTGGGGAGGCTGCTCCCAGTTCACGGAAAGGCCAGCTGGGAAAGGCCAGCTTGCAGAGGGCAGCGGTGACTTTAATTATTGTGCTCCAGCTCATTCCGGACATCTGAGTGCTGGTGTTGGTGTCAGAGTTCTCTGTGTGTCATGTTTGATTTCTGTCCAGATTTTAACCAGCTGAACGCTTTGGTGTTATGAGTTTTGTGTCAGAGCTGAATATTGTGTTTTGAAGCCAAGAGTCAAATCTCAGTTTAAAATCCCGGCTTTTATACCAGCCTTTGGAATTCAGACAGATGAAATGGAAGCAGCAGAGTGCTGTGGCTTTGTGAAATACTGACTGCCTCCCCCGTGGAAGTCTTCAAGGGGGCCCTTTTTGGCCTTTTATAGAAGAAAATGTTTTTGTTTTTTTCTTAGCCTGCTTTCACTTTCTTGATTTGCCCATTTGTGCTTTTTCCATTAAAACAGCCCTGGGGGCCAGGGTGTGGTTGTTGGAGGCCCTGGGTTCCCGGCCCAGCCCTGCAGAAGCACACACACAAAGCAGGCCTCTTGGAGGCCAGTGGCCCCGCAGAGGCCCTGGTGCAGTTCTGAGGGTGAAGCCCGCCCACCCGTGGCGTGGCCCCAGCCTGCCTGTCCCCGCGGGTCTGACTCTGCAGTTGGCCTCCTCTTTGCTTCCTCTGCCCTCCCCCCTCGCCCTCTGGGGCTGCCTGATGGAGTCTCTCTCCTTTCCTGGGTTGCATTTCCTACTTCTGCAGAGATTTCTGGCCAAGTGGCCACTTGGTTGGGACCCGGTGCACTGGTGCTTGCGCCCTGCCCCTCTCCCCGTAGGTCCCCTTTACACTGCCAGGTCCCGCTGGGGTCCCTCCAGGGCGTGGATTTCTGAGCAGACCTTGGCTGCAGCCTGCGGCCCTAACTCAGAGTTCTGGCCTAAGAGCACCGTGATGCTGTGCTGGCAGGGCTGCTTGCCCACACCTGGTGGCAGCAGCACTGCCCCTCTCCCCTCCCCAGCAGGGGAGGCACGTGTATTATTCTGAGCGTGACCCCAGCGCTCATTGCGTCCATTCCTGATTACTTGACTTTCTCTTTATCCACTGGAGGAAATTTAGGGGAAAAAGACAAGAAAAGGACTTCATAATCCCACTACCTTGAGAAAATCAGATCACCATTACCTTTTTGGGTGTTGTTCTGCCTTTTCTTGCTCCTAGGTGAATGTACACATGTGGCTGAGTTCACACGATCGTGAAAGAAGGCTGGCTCTTTCTTTCGGGAGATTCAGACCGTCTTCCCAAGGCAATAAACATTTTCCTAGGGCATCTTCTTGCCCGGCCACAGAGCACTCCTGTGTGGATGGCCGGTCGTTTGTGGAGTGAGCCCTTTCCTTTCGGACCTGTATGCTCACAGTGTTTTTGGCGCTTGATGCAGCATGCAGATGGACGTTCTCGCAGCTTTTGATGGACTCTGAATGTTTCCTGCGTGAATTCCTTAAAGCACACATAGAGCCAGGCTGGCTGGCTTGCTTTTTCTGCGTGTTTCTGGCACATGGTAATACTTACTTTTCTTCCTTTCTAGACGCTACAGCAACAGGAGTGCAAACTTCTGTACAGCCGAAAAGAGGGCCAGAGGCAAGAAAATAAAAACAAAAATAGGTACAAAAACATCCTGCCCTGTAAGTATCACGTCTTGCCTCAGTCTTTGTCACTGTGTCCTGGGAGCTGTGTGCGCGTGTTAACGGATCCTTGACCTTAGTGTCTCAAAGTCCCAGCAGTTTCCAAAGTAATGAGCCATGGTGGGGACTGATGACTTCATTCACTGAGTTTCTGGGATCCTGATGACTGAGTGAAATTGCCCCTGGAAGGCCTTTTCTGTGCTCATTTCCTTCGGTTAAATCAATTTTTAATCAGCCTGAGTGTAATAATCTGGAGGCTTGTGATTGGTCAGTGACAGGCCACACCCATTGCCCCAGGGTCCAAGGTTTGTGTCCTTGCCTTCCATGCCAGGGCTCAGGAGTCCTGGATGAGGCCGACATGAGTCTCAGGAAGCAGGCAAACTCCTGGGGCTCTTTGTGCAGGCTGGAGTTACTGGAGATAAGGGGTGCCCCAGACAGAGCCTGCCAGTGGAGCCCAAGCTGACCACAAGGGCAGAAGAGCCCTGAGACACAGGGACCAACACCCACAGTTTAAAGAGAAGTTTATTTTGGCTCACATTTCAGTCCACAGTTGGCTGGCCCCAAGGCAGGACAGCATGGCACAGAGGCCTGGCGGAGGAGAGCAGTTCACAGCATGGGTGACAGGAAGCAGAGAGTGAGAGGGGGAGCTAGGGAGGGAGAGAAATCCTTCCGGGCCAGGCATCCCTGTGGGCCCACCTCTTCCAGCTGGGGCCCCATAACCCACCTCCCTAAAGTCACCTCCCTAAAGGCTGCCTTGTGAGCACATGAGCCCCTTGGGTACATTGGAGTATAAACCGTAACACCTTGTATGGTGACCCCAGAAACGACACAGCTCCAGTCCTAGTTCCCCCTCCATGGGTCCACCTCTGCCCAACGCTTTGCGTGTTGATATCACCTAATCCATGCCACGTGCCTGCGAACAGGCATTCCCATCGTCCCCGTTCACAGACTGTGTCAACCAGTTTGCAAGGAGGAGTAAGTGGGAGAAACAGGTCCTGGAGCCGCAGGGATCCTGGGGTGGGCCGTGCACAGCGGGTAGGGAAAGGCCACTTGGAGCTTGTATTTATTTATATCCTACGTAGAAAAGGAACATTTAAATCTGATACATTGATGGACAGAGTACATGTGTAGTGTATTTAGTTGGCTTAAAAAAATAAGTCTAGTGTAGAGCTTTGTTAGGCATGAGTGTGTGTACTTCAGTGTTCAGTGTTGAGTCATTGAGGTGCATGCTCAGATTTGGAGAGCAGCCCCCCTATGCCTCTTCAGTTCTGGCTACTGGGCCGGTTATTGTACACCCACTGTGCGTGTGTATGTGTGCCTGGCACCCCGTTTGTGTTACTTTAGGGTGTTACTTTATGCAACTTTACGGTGGGAGCAGACGAGGCCAGGAATACGGAGGCATGTCTCAGGCCGAGCAGAGGGACGAGGGCTTGCAGAGAACTGGTCAGAGCAGCAGCAGGCCCTCCCGTCCTTGGGGAAGCCAAGCTTCTTTTCCTTTCAGGTTCTTTTTAGGTCTGAGTTTTCACTTCTGCTCAGGGGCTCTACCAGTACAACAGTAGTTTGCAGTTTCTAAATATAGTAATGCCCCCTCAACGGTCCAATCTGAAGTGTTCTCTGATTCACTTATTTCTGTTTTTATCTGCAGTGCTAAGGCTTGTACCCAGGGCCTGGTACATACTAGGCAAGCGCTGCACCCCTAAGCCACATTCCCAGCCCACATCTTAACTCTTTAAAGATGCAGAGAACCAGGCAAAACCCCCCCCATGATTCTATTATTATTTTTCTGTTTGTTTTTTGTTTTTTGAGGCAGGATCTCTGTATGTAATCCAGGTTGGCCTCGAACTCACAGTGATCCTCCTGTTTCAGCCTCGTGAGTGCTGGGATTACCGGAGTGCATCACCATGCCCAGCCATTATTCTGTTAATAAAGATACACAACTACATGCATTAGTTATGTATGGCACACACCCACTTTCTTTGTAAAATATGTTGCCTTAGATAAAGCACTCAGATTTTTATGCTGTAATGTACTGTTTTTTGAGAGGGGTCTTGCCATATAGCTCAGGCTGGCCTCAAACTTGCTTATGTAGCCCAGGCTGGCTTTGATCTCTTGGTGATCTTTCTGCCTCAGCCTCCTGGGTGCTACCAATATGTTCTTTTGTACAGAATTTGGTTAGTCAATACTGGTAGAATCTGGATTTTTACATATCTTATTCTTTTAAAAACTTTTATTATTGTTATTATTTTGGTGCTGGGGATCGAACTCACAGCCTTGTGCTTGCTAGGCAGGTGCATATGCCCTGAGCTACATCTCCACCAAACCTTTTATTTTGGAAAACTGGAAATATATTCAAAAACCTGCACACATCCATCTCCATCACCTGGGTTCCACAGTTATCAGCACAAGCCCATCTTGTTTCATTTATACTTGTGGTTCTTTTCTCCTGTCTCCCAAAATTACTTTGAAGTGAATCTCATGTATAATATCATTTGTCTGTACTTTTTTTTTTTTTGTTTTTTTGAGATAGGATCTTGCTATGTAGTTGAGGCTGCCCTTGGATTTACTATGTAACCCAAGTGGGCCTTAAACTTGTGGTAATCCTCCTGCCTCAGCCTCCTGAGTGCTAGAATTACAGGCGTGTGCCACCATGCTTGGCTCTTTGTTTTCTGGAGACAGGTTTTGCTTTATAGTTCAGGCTGCTTTTGAACGCTTGGTGATCTTTCTGCCTCAGCTTCCAAGTGCTGGAATTATAGATATGGCCCACTAAACTGAGGTTGATCTTGTTTTTAAAAACAGAAGCCAAGAGACTTTTAGGCTTGAAGTAATTTTCGACTTGTAAGAAGTTACCAACATGATGTGGAGGTGAAGCAGGGTGGCACACACCCATAATCCCATTTACTTAGGAGGCTGGGGCAGAAGGATTGAAGGTCCCAGGCCTTCCTGGGCAATTTAAGATATTGGTTTCAAAATGAAATTTCAGAAGGGACTGAGGATATTGCTTAGTGCTAGAATGCTTGTGTAACATTTGGAAAGCTCTGGCAAAAAAAAAAAAAAATCATACCGAGGCGTTCACATACCCGTCCCTCATCCCCCCTGCCCACGTGGCTTCCTGTGGTCCATCGTCCAGACATGGAACTGTAACAGAAGCGTTCAGAGGCGTCACGTGGTACTCCAGCGAGTGTCTTGAGATTGGACTGGGGAGGGTGAGCTGGTCCGCCCCACCTGGCCCTTACAGGGCGACACTCTCTCCTCCTGCAGTTGATCACACCAGGGTCGTCCTCCACGATGGTGACCCCAATGAGCCTGTGTCTGACTACATCAACGCCAACATCATCATGGTAAGCACGCTGTTCCTCCGTGTCTTCGCCGTGCGCTGCTAGCTTCGTTTTGTGTTTTAAATCCTTTCTTGCCTTCTGAAAGAAACTTTTAGATGTGTGAAAGATTTTCTTCCTAAATTTCTAGCCTGAATTTGAAACCAAGTGCAACAATTCAAAGCCCAAAAAGAGCTACATTGCCACACAAGGCTGCCTGCAGAACACGGTGAACGACTTTTGGCGAATGGTGTTCCAGGAGAACTCTCGAGTGATTGTCATGACGACGAAAGAAGTGGAGCGAGGGAAGGTGCGCAGGCTCCTCTGTCTGATAAAAGTTCTGTTCTTTCTTTTGGCATGCCACGGATTGAACCCAGGGCTTCATGTGTGCTTAGCAAATTCCTTACCACTGAGCTACAGCCCCAGCCTCTGAGAAAGCATTTTTAAAGCATTGTACTTGTCAGGTGAGAAATGGAAAAAATAAGGCCAGGTGTAGTGGTGCAACATGTCTTTGATGCCAGCATTCAGGAGGCTGAGGCAGGAGGATCACTGGGTTCAAATGGTCAGACTGGAATACACAAGCTGACCATGCCTTTAGAAAAAAAAAAAGGGAGAAAAGGAAACCAAGAAATGGAATAAGCAAATTAAGTTCATGTTTACCTACCCTTTGGAGTAGAAGGGAGTGGAAGACATTGACTAAGACTGTCTCAGTGTAGTTTCTGTTATGATCTTTTGCTTGGGACTCCTGTTGCTCCTTAGGTCTGCTGATCTACAGTTTTCAGATTTGGTTATTGTTCACCATTAGTTCTTTAAACATGTGCTCTGTCTCACCCTGCCCAGGACACCGGCTAACCTGTAGGTCTGAGGCTGTGCATATTTGACTTTGTTCTCTTTCCCATTCATCCATTTGAATAAGCCGTTTGGCTGTGTTTTTTGGTTGATCTTTTGTTTGCAGCATTTAATCCGCTCTTAGTCCTTTTAGTGTGTTTTTTTACAGCAGCAAACATGGTGCGTTTCCCCTCTGAGTGTTTTATTTGGATCTTTTCATTATCTCCTGCGTCCTTCCTTTGAACACGAGTACCATTTCCTCTGCCCTGTGAGCAGACGGACTATATTTAAACTGTTTAGTATCTTTGTCTGCTGACTCTGTCATCGGTGTTGCTTGGCTTTTGCAGTGTGTTAGCTAAGGGAGGAGGGTGAGCACGCACCGTCTGCTTCCATTGGCCCAGAAGCAGGGGGCGGGAAAGTGGTCAGCTGGTCCCTTCAGGTGAGGAAATCATGGTGGTTTTCCTGTTCATATAACCTGTACTTCTCTGACTTTGAATTTGAATTACACAGAGAGTACACACACATGAATATGCAAGCATATTGGAGTTAAGGTGGATGCTTCCCTTGTTGCCACACCACCCCTAGCACCTACATAGAAGCCCAGTTCCAAGTTCGGTGCAAATTTTTCTGCAGAGCTGCCTTGGCATTGCTTATGTGTACACACTTTTAGAAGCATGTGATTCTGTGTTTCTGCCTTTCTGTCTGTCTTCTGTCTTATTTCTGGCACTGGGTAAGGGCCAGGGCCTTGCACATGCTAAGCGCGTGCTGCACCGCCGAGCTGCGCCCCAGCCCGCAGCTTTCCAGCTGCACAGTGCTCCCGCACAGTGACTTCATTGTCTGTCTTGCTGGTTTTTCCTCCCTGCTGAATCCATGCTCTGCCTCCCTCCCTTAGTACACGTTGGCCCATCTTGTGCGCGTGAGCACTGGTGCGGGTGTGGATGTGTCCGGTTTTTTAAATGTCATGCTGTGTTCATTGTCCCAGTTTTTGCTGAAGTGAACGACCTTGGGCCTCCCCTCACACGCAGTAGATGTCAAGAAGAGGAATTGCTGGGCCCCAGGACGCATGAGCTGTGAATGTTAATACACTGCCCGTTGTCCTCCAGGGTGCATGTCCCAGGGCATTCTCACCACAGCGGAGCCCAGAACTCATCTCCCCACACTCTTTACTGTGCTCCTGGTTCTTGCAAGTCGCAACATCCCACACTGAGGGAAAAGCAGACACATCTTACTGAAAGGCAGCCTCTGTGCTGTCCTGATGTGATGTGAGCCCAGCCCCAGGTGGGGGTGTTAATATGACCACAGTACTGTGTTACTGTTATGTTCTAGTCAAGAGTTCTGTTCTAGATCTCTGTTAATTAGTCTCCTGAGTGGACAGTCACAGTCACACCTAGCTGGTGAATCCGAGGCAGGTGTGAAGGGCAGTGTGACCTCACAGGATTTTCATTATTGCACTCCCGGCTGGTGCCTTTCAGATTCCGGCTGTGCAGCAGAGGCCTTCTCCAGCTGCAGTAACATTAGGGGGTTTGAATTAAAGGCCGCTCGCTGCGTCTTCATGGTTTCTGCTTCAGGTGAGAGGTCGCTGCCCTGAATACGGGACAGGAGCGGATGGTGTTGCATGAGGGTGCCTGTTCTCAGAGCACTTGGGCTGGGGGAGAGGGGTCTCTTGTTGCTGCAAGGGTGAAAATGTCAGTCCCTGTCTGAAGAGGTGCTGGAAGCTCCTGGAGTAGACGGAACCAGGGCCAGGTTACCCTGCCGCAGTCCTCAGCCCTCTGCCCCATCTCCTACCTCCACATTTGGCTCCTTCCTCTTCACTTTGGGGGTGTGGAGAGGCGGCATGCCAGGCTTAGGCTTCTGTCTTCTCTGCAGGCCTTGCAGAGAGCCTGCTGCTGGTGTCCCCAGAGCACGGGAGGAAAGCCGGCCGTGGCCACCCCTCGGTCCCTGTGCCTTCACATGAAAGATACTGTAATGGCCCCCACAGTTAGTGTCAGTTTGCCAGCTTTCCAGGAGAGAGCTTGAAAACCAGGAGGAGGGCAGAGCAGCCTGCAGATGTGTGGTTGGCTAAAATGTTCTTTCCAGAGTCGTGATTTAGTTTTGTGTTCCCTGTCAAGTCCCCTGTTGAGTCCCCTGTTGTGTTCTTTCTAGTGATCGGAACAATCCTCTGAACTGATTGGCCAGTAAAATACTGATTACAACCCATATTAAAAGGGCATATTTGGGGGCAGATGTAATTTGTATAAAATCCTTTGAAAGGTTTTTGGATCTACCATATGCCAGAGGCAGAGTTGAATTCAGAATAAGAATGATAAAGAGGCGTCTTTCGGTCGACCTCCCGCTACCTTGTTTGTTTTCTCTCACTTTATCGCTGACAGTGGACGTCCGCAGCTGTGCTCTTATTGCTGCTTGTGTAACTGTTCATTTTGTTCTCTTTCTAATACTCACGGTGAATTTCTTTTGCTGATAATTGTGTCTGATGGTTTTGGAAAGTGAATGGTGTGAGTGACCAGTCCTGGAACAAAACAAGACAAGACAAAACAAAACAAAACAAAACAAAACAAAACAAAACAAAACAAAACAGCATTTTCTACCCAGGGCACATTACCAAATACTTGCAAACTCACCTGTCGTTCAGCAGAATAGCTTCCTTTTGGCAGCAGGCACAGTCTCCTCCGTGCCATATTTTTCAACCCACCTGTCCTGAAGGCAGCTGCTACGTGAGACTTGGCACTCCCAGTTCAGGGGCGGTGCCATGTGGAATAGCTGTCAGATGATCTGGATGTAGAAGCAGCAGCTGGCACAGAGGCCGGTAGCCGCCTTCCTGTGATAGGTGTTCCCACTTGGGGAGGTAAGGCACAGAGCCCTCCTGCTGGGGTGCGGAGTGAACAGGACCGGCGCCAGCCCGTCCACCGGGGAGTGCTCCCGCCCTCTGCTGCCGAGTGGCTGGCAGGTCTCTCTCTAGAGTTCAGAACTCTGATTGCTACAGCACTTGACTTTGTTGGTCCCTCCCTTTTTGTACCCCTTTTTTTTTCGTCAGTGGTAGCACTGGGGATTGAAACCCAGGGCCTTTACATCTCCAACCCATTTTTAAAATTTTGAGACAGGGTCTCACTGATTTGTACAGGCTGAGCTCAAACTTGGAATCCTCATGCCTCAGCCTCCCAGAATACTGGGATCACAGACATTCAATCACCGTACCTGGCTGAATCTTTTTTCTTTAGAGCTAAATAAATAAGCCTTGACTCGCCTTTGATTTGTGGCTTGGATCAGCCCATTCTGCCTCTATTCTTTTTCTCTCTCCTTCTGTCTGCCTCTGTGAAAACCCTTTTTCTTTTGTGTGGACTAACGTGTTAGGCAGGCCATTTTCCATGGTGGTGCTCCTTAAAATTTGAACTCTTGTTTGCTGCTGGTTCAGGCTTTTCTCAGTGCCTGTGGAGATTAGTCTTTTTTTTTTTTTTTTTTTGTCTTTTTCATTTTTATCGGTACCAGGGATCAAACTCACGACCGCCTGCTTGCAAGACAGGTGCTTACGCCACTGAGCTAAATCCCCAGCCCCGTGCCTGTGGAGATTAACAGTCTTTCCTCCAACCCTCCCTACCAGAGCAAATGTGTCAAGTACTGGCCGGACGAGTATGCCCTCAAAGAGTATGGGGTCATGCGTGTCAGGAATGTCAAAGAGAGTGCTGCTCATGACTACACACTAAGAGAACTTAAACTCTCCAAGGTTGGACAAGTAAGTATATTGTCGTATTTTAGAGACTTTGGTGACCGTTTGGGTGTGTGGTCACCCGAGGTCCTGCACTGTTCAGGTTGGCACGCATCACATGTGCATTGTTGATGCACAGTCACTTTCTGGGTGCCTTTTCCATGCCAGGTACAGCTCAGGCTCCGGGTGCACTGTGTACGTGACAGATACTGTCTCTGCCCTCATAGGGCCAGCAGAACCCCAGATCTAAAAGTTACACCACTCAGCTTCAGATTATGCTGGTCTGTGAGGGCTGCTGGATGATGTGTTTAAGAGAGACCAAGTTCTCAAGATGGAGTGGACAGGGAAGAGCTGTTAGAGCAGGTGATATGTGTTAGCCAGTGCCTGATTTGTAGGAACCAGGCATCCAGAGTCAGAAGAGTGGGGGGATGTTGGGATTTTTTTAGCAGTGTGAGCTTAACCCTGGGTGAGCCAAGCTTTCAGCAGCTTGCCCCCACTCTGTTGGGTTGGAGGGGACAGGAGTGCTGCATCCATCCTGTGGGCCCAGGGATTAGGACCAAGGTGGAGCCCCCTGAGGTGGATGGTGAAGATGGCAGGGACCGGAAATTCGAGGAGCTTCCGGAGGAGATGGTGGAGGAGAATGTGAAGGGCGTTGATGGGGGAGATGGGCCCAGGGTATCCTGATGGGGGAGATGGGCCCAGGGTATCCTGATGGGGGAGATGGGGCCCAGGGTATCCTGATAGGGGAGATGGGGCCTAGGGTATCCCGATGGGGGAGGTGGGCCCAGGGTATCCCGATGGGGGAGATGGGCCCAGGGTATCCCGATGGGGGAGATGGGCCCAGGGTATCCCGATGGGGGAGATGGGTCCAGGGTATCCCGATGGGGGAGATGGGCCCAGGGTATCCCGATGGGGGAGATGGGCCCAGGGTATCCCGATGGGGGAGACGGGCCCAGTGTATCCCGATGGGGGAGACGGGCCCAGGGTATCCCGATGGGGGAGACGGGCCCAGGGTATCCCGATGGGGGAGACGGGCCCAGGGTATCCCGATGGGGGAGACGGGCCCAGGGTGTCCCGATGGGGGAGACGGGCCCAGGGTGTCCCGATGGGGGAGACGGGCCCAGGGTGTCCCGATGGGGGAGACGGGCCCAGGGTGTCCCGATGGGGGAGACGGGCCCAGGGTGTCCCGATGGGGGAGACGGGCCCAGGGTGTCCCGATGGGGGAGACGGGCCCAGGGTGTCCCGATGGGGGAGACGGGCCCAGGGTGTCCCGATGGGGGAGACGGGCCCAGGGTATCCCGATGGGGGAGACGGGCCCAGGGTATCCCGATGGGGGAGACGGGCCCAGGGTATCCCGATGGGGGAGACGGGCCCAGGGTATCCCGATGGGGGAGACGGGCCCAGGGTATCCCGATGGGGGAGACGGGCCCAGGGTATCCCGATGGGGGAGACGGGCCCAGGGTATCCCGATGGGGGAGACGGGCCCAGGGTATCCCGATGGGGGAGACGGGCCCAGGGTATCCCGATGGGGGAGACGGGCCCAGGGTATCCCGATGGGGGAGACGGGCCCAGGGTATCCCGATGGGGGAGACGGGCCCAGGGTATCCCGATGGGGGAGACGGGCCCAGGGTATCCCGATGGGGGAGACGGGCCCAGGGTATCCCGATGGGGGAGACGGGCCCAGGGTATCCCGATGGGGGAGACGGGCCCAGGGTATCCCGATGGGGGAGACGGGCCCAGGGTATCCCGATGGGGGAGACGGGCCCAGGGTATCCCGATGGGGGAGACGGGCCCAGGGTATCCCGATGGGGGAGACGGGCCCAGGGTATCCCGATGGGGGAGACGGGCCCAGGGTATCCCGATGGGGGAGACGGGCCCAGGGTATCCCGATGGGGGAGACGGGCCCAGGGTATCCCGATGGGGGAGACGGGCCCAGGGTATCCCGATGGGGGAGACGGGCCCAGGGTATCCCGATGGGGGAGACGGGCCCAGGGTGTCCCGATGGGGGAGACGGGCCCAGGGTGTCCCGATGGGGGAGACGGGCCCAGGGTGTCCCGATGGGGGAGACGGGCCCAGGGTGTCCCGATGGGGGAGACGGGCCCAGGGTGTCCCGATGGGGGAGACGGGCCCAGGGTGTCCCGATGGGGGAGACGGGCCCAGGGTGTCCCGATGGGGGAGACGGGCCCAGGGTGTCCCGATGGGGGAGACGGGCCCAGGGTGTCCCGATGGGGGAGACGGGCCCAGGGTGTCCCGATGGGGGAGACGGGCCCAGGGTGTCCCGATGGGGGAGCCGGGCCCAGGGTGTCCCGATGGGGGAGCCGGGCCCAGGGTATCCCGATGGGGGAGCCGGGCCCAGGGTGTCCCGATGGGGGAGACGGGCCCAGGGTATCCCGATGGGGGAGACGGGCCCAGGGTATCCCGATGGGGGAGACGGGCCCAGGGTATCCCGATGGGGGAGACGGGCCCAGGGTATCCCGATGGGGGAGACGGGCCCAGGGTATCCCGATGGGGGAGACGGGCCCAGGGTATCCCGATGGGGGAGACGGGCCCAGGGTATCCCGATGGGGGAGACGGGCCCAGGGTATCCCGATGGGGGAGACGGGCCCAGGGTATCCCGATGGGGGAGACGGGCCCAGGGTATCCCGATGGGGGAGTCGGGCCCAGGGTATCCCGATGGGGGAGACGGGCCCAGGGTATCCCGATGGGGGAGACGGGCCCAGGGTATCCCGATGGGGGAGACGGGCCCAGGGTATCCCGATGGGGGAGACGGGCCCAGGGTATCCCGATGGGGGAGATGGGCCCAGGGTATCCCGATGGGGGAGATGGGCCCAGGGTATCCCGATGGGGGAGATGGGCCCAGGGTATCCCAATGGGGGAGATGGGCCCAGGGTATCCCGATGCGGGAGATGGGCCCAGGGTATCCCGATGGGGGAGACGGGCCCAGGGTATCCCGATGGGGGAGATGGGCCCAGGGTATCCTGAATGAATTGCTTTTGATCGCCGGGTGGGAGCAGTGGTGGCATTTTTTCTGTGGTAACAGGAGGGCAGGGTGGACAAGCGTCCCCAGATGCCAAGGCGTCAGCATTTGGAGCGGATTTATTCTGTGTTCTCTCTGACGTGTGAGGTACAACCTTCACTTGGGAGCCAGAGGGGCTTAGAACAGATGGGATATTTGTGGGAAAAGGTAGAAGTAGTAATTGTGCAAAGAGAGCCAGAAATCCAGGAATTTCTGGGCAGTGCGGGTGCATGATTGAGGTGGGGAGTGTGCGTGTTTAGACACCTGGTTGTGTGATTTTTCTCCAAGGACACCCTGGTCCTTGGACATGAAGCCAGTAGGAGAGGATTCATCTGGGCCTGGGGCATAGCGCAGTTGCACTGTGGCTGGGGGAAGGTCCTGGGGCTGGAGGCACGTGGCAGAGAGCAGCTGTCAGCGGTGCTCTGTGGAGTCCTAGTTCGATCAGGAGGGGACAGAGTCGGAGGAAACAGGTAGAAGGCAAGGGTGAGCAGCCTGGTAGCTGCAGCAGCTGAGCAGGATGCCCTGTGGCCCTGCTCCGGATGGGGGTGGAGGGCGCTGTCTGCATTCACGAGGTCGGCAAGGTGCAGGTCCCCTGATGATGGCGGGCAAAGGTGTGGAGGTTCAGTCAGTCTCAGATGTGGGAGAGGAGCTGAAGAGAGTGGCCGTCAAGTAGAAACAGGAGGAGAAATGGGCAGGACCCCAGGTGGCCCTGCTCTTCGTTGTGCGGTGTTCCTGGGTTGCAGTAGTTTTCCCTTGGTGTTGGTGATGACCTCTCTCTTAAAATACAGCAACACTGTAATAGAAGCACAGGCCTGGACCTGCTGGGGGTTGGGAATAGGAGAGGACACGAGGGAGCAGGTGTCTTGGGATACCTGTTTCCTTGGAGGGACCTGAGTCCTTAGAGACCGCAGTTGCCTCTGGAGCTGAGGGCCGCTTGGCTGAGGCGGAGGGGACGTGGCCTACGTTGGTGGTTCAAAGAGGTGTTTGGGTTTGCAGTTCCCTGCAGAGCGGCTGGCCTTACCGGGCATCTTAGTTCTCCGTGACGCGGGCAGATGCCTGGTCAGGTCCCACGGGAGCAGTGTGCTGGGGGGGTGATGAGAAGGACCTTTGGATGGGATGTGGGAGATTCTGGACCTCTGGTCTACGCAGCATCTAGCACAGCTTGGGACCAGGCGACCCTCAACCCCTTGATTTATTTAATTCTGTTCTGGTTTTTCTTGGCTCTACTCCAGGGGAATACGGAGAGAACGGTCTGGCAATACCACTTTCGGACCTGGCCGGACCACGGTGTGCCCAGTGACCCCGGGGGTGTGCTGGACTTCCTGGAGGAGGTCCACCACAAGCAGGAGAGCATCGTGGATGCAGGCCCCGTCGTGGTGCACTGCAGGTAACAGTCAGCGCCTGCCTGGATTCCAGAGCTTGCTTTTACTTCCCTGCACTAGCTCTTTAACTGTAGGAAGGCGTTGTGGTCTATTTGAGGTGTGGGTGAACTGCATTAAGGGCCATTTGAAGCCCGAGTATATTTCTCATGGGCTCTACAGGACTCTCAGGTTTTGCAGGGGATAGGGTGGACCCAGTCCTTATTCTCAAAGGTCCCTTTTAGTCTAGCTAGTTTTTTTGTTTTGTTTTGTTTTTTAAATATAGTAATAATCTAGGATTCATGTCTTTGACTCTGCGTCTCTTCTATCATGGAAAGAAGACATAATCTTCCCCCCAATGCCACACTTGTTTGCTCTGTGAAATTCTGACCGCTTCCTGCTTGGGCCTGTGATAGAAGGTGCATGTGGCCTGCACAGTTGTGGCTGCTGCTGACCCAGTTTTGGTTTCCGGGTTATATGAGGCAGAGTTGGTATCCTCAGTTAGTTTCATGTTGGGCAAGTACATGCACGTGAAACTGTCTTTGTTCAGTTTTTTAAAGCTATTATTTAGTGAGCCCATGTGGGCGCCAGCCTCAGAGCTCAGTGTTTTTTCTCCATTGTTCATATTTGAACCTCACAGCATCTCTGTAAGGTGTGTACCTGTGTCCCCACTTCACAGAGGAGATAGAGGGGCAGAGAGATGAGGGACTTGCCTTGGGCACATTGCGTGGAGGGCTGAGCACCAGGTGTAGGCTGGGTTGACCCCAAAGCCCTATATTCTTTGCTAATATATTTGCAGAACAGAGACCATCTTATAAATCTTCCCAAGGGCAGGCATTGTTTTTGTGAATATTAATAGCTTGATTTTGCATACAAGAGCCCCACAAATGACTCCACTGTCCCTGCCTTTTGTCCTCGTGCTCACAGTGCTGGAATTGGCCGGACAGGGACATTCATCGTGATCGATATCCTTATTGACATCATCAGAGAGAAAGGTAGGTTTTCTGGAGGCCACAAAGCCACAGTTTGTATTTGTAGTTCAGGAGGACAGGGCCAGGGAAAAATACCCAAGGAAGAGAACTTGCATGGGAAAGGGTTTTTGTAACAGCCTGGGCCAAAGAGTTCACCTTCACTTTGCTTGAGAACTGAAGTGGTGTCGTGCGAACTTTTGGCAAAACCTGGAGTCCAGGACAGAGGGCCCCTTGCTGTGGCCTTGTGATGCCTCTGGGAGATGATTTCTCCAGATGCTTAGTCCTTTCTTGCAGCATGGGGTGGCTCCTTTAGGAAGCGGGGGATCTTAGGGCCAAGGATTTAGATCACTGGCACAAGCACCTGCCTGGCAAGCACGAGGTCGTGAGTTAGATCCCTGGTACTGAAAGGGAAATAAGGGGGAGGGGACCCTGCCCTTCTGCGTATCTCATGGCATCACTAGGGCTGCTCAGAAGTCCAGCCCTCTGCCCCTCAGTGCTGGAGCGATAGCAGCCATATCTGCTTCTCTGCAAGTTGCTGAAAGCTGTGCGTTGAATGGCTCCGCCTGGCTCTGCAGTTTTTCCTGCTGCTTCATGGTGTCCTCTTTGCAGGTGTTGACTGTGACATCGACGTTCCCAAAACCATTCAGATGGTGCGGTCTCAGAGGTCAGGGATGGTCCAGACCGAAGCCCAGTACCGGTTTATCTACATGGCTGTCCAGCATTACATCGAAACACTACAGCGCAGGATCGAGGAAGAGCAGGTATGGAGCTGGGGGCCACGCACCATCTCCTTTTGGTTTTAAATCAACAGCTGTCTATTCAAGAGTGGGAAACGGATTCCCAGATAAAAGGGCCTCTCAGGAAACTGTTCCCACTTGGCAGTTCTGGGTTTTCAGCCCAGAGGTTATTGAGGAGGGCACCGTGCCATTGTCCTGGCCTGCCAGCTTGAGGCTTTCCCGTGCAGGATGGTTACGATTTTCCCAAGCTTGCCTGGTAAGCTTAGAACTGGGAGAGAGCAGTGAGGCTTCGCGCCTGTTCCAGCTTTGATCCAGGCCATGTTTATCCTGATTCCCTCTCTTAAAATGAATGCCTCACTCTTAATAGCTCATGGCAATTTGAGTCACTAATTTGGCCAAGTTGGAAACAGTGAAATTTCAGTTTTAATAAGCTGTGCATAATGAAGAAGCATGTGGGATGGATCCTTTCCATTTGAAGCTATTCATAACAGACACAAAGCTGAGTTAATTAGGAATATGCTGAGCTGGGGGAGATGAGGACTGCTCTTTTGGGGAGCTGCACTTAACTCCCCCCACCCCAGTCCCATCAAGCTGTCACAGGTGGGATAGTTTCTGAGCAGCAGTGGTATTGATCTATTTTTTTGCTATTTGTTACCTCCCAGAGAACTCAGTTTCTCAAATGGGAGCTATACATATCTCAAAGTAGGATCTGCCACCTAACTGCATGATTTCTAGAGAGAGTCCCTGAGTCACTCAGTTGTCCAGGTGGGCCTTAAACTCAAGACCCTGCTTCCTCTCGACACAGTGTTGGAATTACAGGCATGTGCCATCAAGTGCAGCTTTTTAGTGCTTTAAATCTGAAACCTTGCATGTTAGTCTGCCACTGAGCTATATTCCTAGCCCTCCAAATTTGTATTATTTTAAGCTTTATGAAATATTCTTTTTTTAAAAAAATTTTTTGAGATAAAGTCTCACTGTGTGGTTCAGGCTGGTCTTGAGCTCACTTTGTAGCCCAGGCTGGCCTCGAACGTGCAGCGATCCTCCTGCCTCAGCCTCCCGAGAGCTGGGATTACAGACGTGAGCCACCACGCCTGGCAGTTACTCTTTACTTTACAGGTGTCTTCCAGGCTTCATGGCAGTGTTGGCACTTCGTGATGAATAAGTAGACTTCAGGGTTGCAGTTGAGCGTTTGTCACTGCCAGCACAGGGGCTCCCTCACTCTAAATCTGATGGTGAAATTGGATTTAGGAAAGTTTTTAGGAATTTATTGCTGCTATATTTAGAAGGAGAGATTTCATAGTGGGGGACAAAAGCAAAACATGGTCTTTAACAATTTATAGAGTATAGCAAGTGAAGTTTCCTGACAGTCTCCTCCTGTAGACGCTTGCATTCATTCATTTATTCATTCAGCCCATACTTTTTTGGTGCCAGTATGTACTAACACTGTGTTAATACATATATTAACAACTGTTTGATGTATGAACCTTTGGATTTTACAAAATGTCTTGGCCTAGTTTATTTATAGGATCCTGTAATACATTGTGTCTGCACTGTATACCTTGTTTTGTTTCCTTAGCCTCCCAGCAGGAGTTTTATGTGTGTATGGTCTCCTTATGGAGGTGAAGCTAGCCTTGAACTCACTATAGAACCCAGGCTGGCCTCAAACTCATGGTGATCCTCCTGTCTCAGCCTCCTGAGTGCTGGGATTAGAGGTGTACACCACCACTCGAGGCTCTGTAGTTAATTCCTTGTAGGTAGATACTTGAGATTGTGTGTATAACCTGTTTCTCATACATTTTGCCTACTATTTTTTTTCCCCCTAATTGTAGCCCAGCTGCATCCTATGCTTTACATTGCACTAGGAAAGTGCTCTGTGTTCATGGTCAAGTGGGAAGTGCCTTCATTTAAAGGAAGGTTTCAGAGGCAGGCTAAAAAAAATTACATTTTAAATTAAGCAAAGGGGCAAAACTTATTTGAGATAATTGATTATTTTGAAATATAATCATTTTCTAATTTAGGATGAATTAAGATCTTTTGGGATTAGAAGAATTTGCTAATGAGGGGTAAGTGAAAAAAAAAATGACTGTGGGGATAGGAACCATGGGGAAGGAAGAGAGAAATAGGACTTTCATGAGGAAGGAAGAAATAAAAACGCAGAGGCGAGAAACCAGGGAAAGTGCATGCAAAGCAGTTCTGAGAAAATTCTCAAATTTTTCCATTTACTATAGTAATACTTTTTTAAATTTCCAAACACTTCATGTGAGTTAAGTGAATGAAAACATGCTTTATTGGTAACCATAAATGAGATTTTCTTTACCTGTGTTTTCTGAATGTTGACATTTTAGCATAATTATGTATTCTCTTTAAATTTAGAAAATAAATAAATTTGTAAAATGGAATGATTGTTGGTTGCAGATATTTATTCCCCCTTACTTCTAATGCTCTGGGGTGTATTTCCAGAAAATAAGAACATTCTCTTGCATAATCATAATGATCAAAATTGGGAGGCAGCCATTGCTAGAAGGTGTTTTCTAACCTCGGGACCATATTCAGCTTTATCAATTTGCCCTACTGACATCCTGAGTGTGGTCCGAGGTTGCACACTTATGCATAATAATCTAGGGTATTTTTTTTGTTTAGTTTTTAAGACAGGGTCTTGCGACGTAGTCTAGGCCGACCTCAAATTCAAGATGATCCTCCTGCCTCTGCTGCTGAGTGCAGGGATTACAGGCTTGTGCCACCATGCCCACATGGCTTAGACATTTTTAAGAGTTCAGAGCTGGCCATGGTAGCATATACCTATAATCCTATCATCCTAACACTTGGGAGGCTGAAGCAAGAAAATTGAAAATTAAGCCTAGGGGCCGGGAGTTTAGCTCAGCAATGTAAGTGCCTGCTTGGCAAATGCAAAGTAGTGAGTTCTGTCCCCGGTGCTGGGGGAAAAAAAGCCCAGACTGGGCTAATTATGAGACTTTCTTAAAGAACAAAACCAAAAACCAAAAAAACTCAAAACAAAACAAAAGCAGAGTTCTAGTGCGAGTCAGGTCTGTGACAGGACTGCCACAGAGGGGTGCTGTGCCCTTGGTGCAGCCCAGCGTGAGCACGTTGTGGTTGATTTGTTACTGGTGGGTTAGTCTTGATCATTTGAAATAAGATCATGTCCGTCAAATTCCTCCACCAGGAAGTTACACCTTGCCTTTGTTGACCAGAATTACCTTGGCTATTCTAAGTCTCTTCTAGTTGCAAATGAATTTTAGGATTGTTTTCTCTAATTCTGTGAGGTTTGCTAATGGTATTTTGTTTGTGATTGCATTAAATCTGTGTAACAGTTTTGCGAGTGTGGCCATGTTTACACTATGTTCTTCTTGCCCATGAGCAAGGAATGTCTTTCCATTTTCTGGTGTCCTTTTCCATCTCCTTTTTCCGAGTACTGTAGTTTTTGGTATAGAGATCTTTTACTTCCTTTGTTAGATTGATTCCTAAGTACTTTATTGTTTTTCAGTGCTTTTGTGAAAGGTATGGTTTCCCAAATTTCTCTCTTTGTTTATTTGTGTACAGAAATGCTGTTATTTTTCAGTATTGACTTTGTATCCAGCTGTGGGACTGAATCTGGTTATTAAATCTAGAAGTCTTTGGTAGCGTTTTTGGGGCCTTCTAAATAGAGTATTGTGTCATGTGCAAATAAAGATAATTTAACTTCTTTTCTGTCTTTATTCCTTTTATTTTTTTTGTCTGATTGCTCTGGCTAATGTTTCTAGAACTATATTGAATAGGAGTGGTGACAGTGGACATCCTTGTCTTGTTTCTGACTTTAGAGTGAAAGCTTTCAGTTTTTGACCATTCAGTGTGATGTTGACTGTTAGTTTGTCATAGATAGCTTGTATCAGATTGAGATGAAGACCATCTGTTCTAATTTTCTGCAGGGTTTTTATAATGAGATTATGTTTTGATATTCTCTATAGCCAAATATATATGTCTTCTCCTGTGATTCCAGTAAATCCGGGTGGATGTCTTCAGACTTTCTCCATCTCATCGTCCCCTGGATTTGTCCTTGGTGGGCTGGGAGTCTGGAATTGCATTTTGCTTCTGCATCTTGGCATTTTATATTTTTAAAGTTTTAATTTGTTGTGTTAATTTTTTTGTTTTTTAGTGATGGGTAGCTTTACCACTGGTATCGAAGCTTCCCTATGAAGAATCGGCTCCTCTGAGATGTCTTCTGGGTGTAGCTGGCTGTTGGTCTTTGTGTCTGTCCCATGGTCTTGCTTCCCACTTTATTAGAGGTGCTGTGTGGCCGGCTGTTTGGCTCGGGTACCCATTTCTGTGGTACTGGGCTGTGAGATGATTGTGACCCTAGCTTGTCACAGTGTCACCATACAAGGGTGCACACTGATCACTGCAAGTGTGGCATCTGACCAGAGCAGTTCAGGTAGCAGTAACAGTATCGTCACGCACAGCGTAGAAACTGGTGACCTCTGGTAACTGCTGATCATGGGAGCAAATCTGTAGTTATAGAACAGTACCTACCATGGGCGGGGATTTGTATGTGGTGGGTTTTTCCTGGGTGGAGTGATTTTATCATATGAGGAAGCGGAATCTAAGAGATGTAGGGGACAAAACGGAGTGATAGCAGAAGAAAAATGTGGTAGAAGCAAGGCTGGAGGACTAAGAGTGACACCCAAACTCTGGGAAGCTGGAGGAGAGGAAGAAGAGGAAGAATGGAGAAAGCAAAACAGAAAGACTAGAGGGAGAGTTCATTTAGCTGTAAATAGCAGAGCATACAGAAAGACTGGTGAGGGAAGAGATTTAAAGAGTAAAGATAGAAAACAGTTACTTTAAAAACCAGTTCCTCCGGTTCCCCAGTCAGAGCCGGAGTCCTACTGAACAGCTCCGCCAAGTCTGCAGCCCAAGTCTGCAGCGGGGTGACTGCAGTGTGTGGGGCCCAGCTGACCATAGCCACGCCGCCGACCCCTCCTACACGAGCTGGTGGTCGGACACGGTAGGCGAGGGCCCTTGTCCTCAGCCAA